TTCATAGTAGTTCAGGATTTCCACATAGTAAATGGAACATATTTTGGGGAACCAGATACTTCTGTGGTTTTGACCTTTACTGGGACAGCTGAACACTCTTGTCATCAATCACATGCTTGAATTTCTGTTGTTTTTTCTTTATTTTTTTGCAGACAGTCTTGGTACTTTACTGAAAGGAATAATTTCCATAGCAACTGTATTTTCTATTGAATTCTTGTGTGAGAAACCACACTCAGACAATGGATACTTTCTTTTTTATTTTTCTTAAGCAATTGAAATTTGCTACATAAGGGCCCTTATATGTATTTTGGTGAAGACAATTCTGGAAGCACAACCACTTCAGATGGAAATACAGGAGGTGATGTATCGTTTATAGCAGAGGCAGTGTATCCTAGTAAACCTCTGTAAAAGTTCTCTTAAGAGATATCCTGGTGGTTCAAAGGAAAGTGTGACGAGCAATTGTGCAAACACTATATGGTCTTTTGTTCCTTGGCTCTCTGCTTGAATCAGACAATGGTGTGTGGAATCTTTATCTCTGATCTTGCTCAAAGAAAATATATCCGGTGCACACATTTTACAAAATAGTTATATGATTTCACTGCTCCCTGTTTTCTCAGGTTCCTGAATTAATATATGTATGTAAGAACAGTTCAAAGCATAGAAGTTTATACAGAGGATGAACATGAGAAACTACAAAACTGAAAAAGACATAGGAGTAATGAAACTGGGAGTTTGCAAAGTGATATGGCAGCAAAAAAAAGGCCAGTGTGATTTTTGGACTCTCTTCCCAGAGTCATCACTTCATGAAACAGGAAGAGATGTCCCTCTCTGAAGACTGCTGGTGAGTGAAACTACACCAAGAATACTGAATTCAGTTTGGGGCACTTCATTACTGGAAAATATTGGCAAATTCCACCCCCTACCTCCTATTAATGTAACATTTGGAGAGTAAAGAAATAGAATTAATAAGAGAATATTGGGACTGAGACTGTAAGATTTTTTCTTCTATCAGTGAGAAGTTTCTGTCTGGGGAATAGGTTCCCATAGGAAGCTTATTTTCAATGCCTTGATTCATCCTTTAAGTAGAGGCAAAAAATGTAGCACAGGAAATACACTTTCACCAAAGAAAAGATGGATTAAATTACTGAAGATCTTTGCTACTATACATGTAAAATCTCACTTGTTCAAATTGTTACAATTTTTGGCAGTCCTGAACATTTTATCTTTAAATGTATTTATTTATAATTGTCAAGCTGTCCTTGACGTGCACATTCAGAACTCTTTCTGGTGCTTATTCTGATTTCTTGTTTAAATAAGAAATTCCTCATTTGTGTTGAATAAAAATGTCTGTGGGAAGTTTAAGTAGGTCTTGGCTGATTGCAGAGATACTACTGCAGATGAATTTACACACACACACACACAGACTCAGAAGTACTCTCATTATTAACAGCCTCACTGGAAAAAAAATAGATCAAGAGAACAGAGATGTTGCTTTATGACAGCAGAGGTCACTTTAAAGGAAATAACACAAGTCACCCTAAAGGAAATAACACTGAAAGGAGCTTGAGGGGGAAAAAGCCAATTATTTTAGAGGGACTTGTTGAAACAAAAAAGTATATAATTTTTCTATCAATGTTAGAGCAGCCTTTAACAATTATTCATCATTACTACAAGTTTTCTCATTTAATTGTACAGACCCATTTAAGATATTAATATCAACTGTTCTAAAGAATTAGTAATGAGTAGCAGAATATAGAGATCCAGATTGCACAAGCTAGTTGAGGGAAAGTTGAGGCTAGACATAAGGAAACACTTCTTTTCCATCCAGGTAGCTAGAATGTGGAACACACTCCCAGCAGAGATGGTGCAGTTGCCATCCCTGGCCATGCTCAAAAGGAGGATGGACAAGCACCTTGTTGAGCTCATTTGAGCCCAACTACCTCCTGCCCAAGGCAGGGGACTGGACTTGAAGATCTTAGAGGCCCCTTTCCAGTCCTTCTATTCTATGATTGTAACATGGCTTCATGCAAACATAATGATGATGATGCTGAAGAATAGTGTTACTGACACCTGTCATGGGTGGGGGGGAGGGATATGAAGTGGGGGGCAGTGACATGCCAGTGCCCTCCCTCTGCCCATTCTTGCCCTTCACTAACAAGCCACACCCTCCCCAGCCCTGCAAGTGTCCCTCACTCCCAAACAGCAGTACCCTGCCCTCCACCCCTTGCTGGTGCCCCTTACTCCTGACCCCACAGCCCCCAGTGCTGCCAGTGCCCTGCACACCCAACCCACAGTCACCCGTCCCATGCCCCTCACTCCTGATCTGCATCCCCCTGCCCTGCTCCCAGCCCTGCCAGTGCCCCTTACTGCTGACCTGCAGTTCCCTGCCCTGCCCGCCTGCTCTGCAGGTGCCCCTCACTTCTGACACACAGCCCCTGCCTCCCCAGCACTGCTGGTGTCCCACACTCTGAACCCTCAGCTTCTGCCCCCCCAACCCTGCTGGTGCCCCTCACTTCCAACCCTCAGGCCCCTACCCCCCCAGTCCTGCTGCCCAAGCAGCTCCTGCATTGTGCATGCGTCTGCTCGCTCGTTTGCTCTCTCTCTGTCTCTCTGTCTCTTTACCTGGCTTGCCGGAGCCCACGTAGGGAGCACATGACCCCCAACAGCTAATCACCTTGCCTACTGCTCCCAGCCCCAAGCAGCCAGCCCAGGAGAGCAGAAAACCTGGACATTTGTTCTTATTTTAAAAACCTGATTGGACACAGCACAGGGGTCCAAAAAAGAGAACAAGTCCAGGAAAACCTGGACGTATGGTAACCCTACTGTTAATGAAGCTAGGGATTTCTTCTTTTGTTCCTGCTTCATCCACTTCCCAATGCTTCTCTTAAATGAATTGACCTGTGTTGTTTTTGCTTTCATTGCAAATCCCAATCTATTTCCATACAGTTCAATACCTGATTGCTCCTTTCCGCTTCCATCGCAAGCTGCCAACAAATTCAATTCTTAAAACATCACCTCATTGCTGAATAGATCGTTTTAATTATTGCAAGCTCAAATCAAACCCAAAATCAAATCTTCTGTCAGAGTCTCCCCTCTCCCAATTTCCCCTCTGCCATTGGACCACTTCAGGGTACAGCAGGTCTGCTGTATCCTAAGGTGCCACCAAACTAAAATTGTATGCCACTACATACGTTCCCTTTCAGCTGCACTACAGATTGGATAGTGAGCCTCAGAAATTCCAGAGCATGCAAGTTGAATGCTGAATCCCAGGCTTTCAGGATTGCAGCTAATAGAGGGGCTGATGGATCCTCTGAACCCTACATATCTTCAGATGTAGGACTAAGAGGAAGGAGAGAGAAAAATAGAGGGATGTATTGCAGGAGCTCTGAGGAGGAAGTGACCTAGTATCAAATGGAGGGTAGATGGTGAAAAAAAGAAGCAAGAAGGCAGAGAGAGCCTGTTAGGGAAGAAGGAACACTTTGGAGGAATATGGGTTTGGCGCAAATATTTCAAGACCATAAAACCTTGAAGTTTTGCCTTTTGACCATGCTAAATGTTCATCCTGGCATAACTGCTTGTGTCTAGTGCCTCCTGGTATGCATACAGTTATTTTTGGTTACTTTGAGATGGTTCTGAAATACTGTTTTTCTCATGAGAAGGCCTGTACAGTTGGAATTTAGCATCAAAATATGTGGCTATACAGATGGTACAATATGAAGAAAACAAAGTTAGTGATATTATTTAAACTTCAAAAACCTTTTCAAAATAGGCATTCTTCTTCCTTCCTTGCATTGACAATTTAGCTTAAAAATGCATGATGATGTATATAAAAGTCTTGGGGTTTTTTATATATCATATTTTTTGTATAACCTAGCTTAGGCATCATGATTTATTTGTTGTATAGCTCATCCTAAACTTACACCAATAAATTATTTATACTGCATTACCTTATAATTTTTTTCCATAACATATCCTATACATTGGTATACTGTACAGCTCCAAATACGTTGTTTGTGCGTAATAGATAAATGTTGGGAATATATATAGCTACAAAAAAGAATCTTTGTTCTAGTGCAGTTTTACCTTTTTCACCATTCTCATATAGCCTTTATTGCCATATAATTTTCTGTTTATTTATCATTTAATCCCATAAGCAATATGTATTGCAGTTTAAGCATGTTGTACATTAGAGTGCCTGAGCTTCAGTAAAGGAAAAATTAATCCCGTTTGAGAACATCTTAACGTACCTACTGTCAGAATTGTACAGTTAAAATGTCTCAGTGTACCATAGATGAGAATGAATGAATTAAATTTGCCCATCTGATGTGTACCTTAGAAATATTATTTGTGAACACCTGTTGTTTACCTTTTGTTTTTGCTATAAAAAAATGAAAAACCTTGGTTTTGAATATATCAGAGTACCTCCTTCATTACTGGGAGACATACCTGTGCACCAGGTAGAAATACTTCCCTCTCCACCAAGGAAAAAAGTACTCTTAATTATTAAACTTTGTACTGGCAGAGGAAGTTTCCCAATGAACTCCATTCAGGCATGCTTAGGGAGGGATGGGAGTGATGCTTTGAAGCAGTAGAGACCACCAGGGGAAAATTAAAAACACAGGGAGTCCAAGCAAAATGTAAAGGTTGAATATAGGGCAGGGTGGCATCTAGCTGGAGACTAATTGTTTCAGAGAGGCACAAGCTCTTGTGGGCAACAACCTACTTTGTCAGATGCTAGCAATGGACTGATAGAAAAAAGTTATAAGTGGCACAAGCAGGTTACTTACTTTGCTGGCTTCTGCAGGAGACCTTGCTGTCTTATGGGCTCCTTAGCCAGGTCTTCAAAGCAAAGGATAGTCTTTAAGTAAAGGAACAAAATAAAATCACATGGTCTTCTCCCAGACACTAGGGGCATGTCCAGATGAGCGCACACGTGTTTCCTTGTGGACAACTAGCAGTGGCACATAGCGCTGCTGCTAGTTGTCTCCAGGGAAAACCCCTGCATTTGTGCTCTGGCATGGGACGAATTGCTCTGGGTGAGGTATGGGAGGCTGGGGTCACCTGGGCTGGCTCCAGCAGCCTTACTTGAGGTCCTGGGGGGCTCCTGGGGATGCAGTGGTGGTGAACCAGGTGCATGGAGCCTGGCTGGCAGCCAGAGCATGGCAAGCTCTGGTTTCAGGTGGCGCCTGCTCCTGCCATGTACACCATGCCACCTTTTTTCCTCTGTGCATTTTTTTGATACTGGGATTTCCCAGTGTCTGAATTTGGCTCTGTTCTGCAAATATGCAGCACAGAGAACCAAATCATGTATACAGGGTGTGTTCTGCAGTGCCTCAAAAGCCTTTGAGATGCAGCAAAGTGCATGTGCACACTTGTGTGGATGCACCCTAGGAAGGAAGCCCATTTTTGCTCTCCTCTCAGTGCAGCATCTGGCCCCTTCCTGCAGCAAATTGTTCCCTTCATAACTTGCTTCCTCTTCCTCTTTTTTCTGCTTACTCTTCAGGGAGCTTTTAAGGGTCCCAGTGGTACAGTACTTGGTTATCCGAATGACCCACAGCTGAGTTTTCTTAACAGGGCTGACTTCCTTCTTAAAGGGACAAACTATACTGTTACAGATGGGAAAGGAACCAGCGGAAGAGAAGGTCCCTGAGGGGTGGGGGGGTTGAGCTGTGCTGGAAATGATTGGAGAAGCAGCAGGAAAAGCTGAATGAACATCAGAGAAGCTGGAAGATCTGGGTGGGGGAAGCAGTTGAGTAGACAGGGAAGATGGGAGACACAAAGGATGGCTCGTGTAATTTTTTAAAAATTATTATTATTCAGAATTTCTTAAGATGTTCCACAATTCTAAAAAAAAAGTTTCTGATTTCCTATGGAGCTGCAAATCTGCTGTACATTATTAACACAGTTAGTAAGATGAGATTACTTGAGAAAAGCATAAAAGAATTAGCTAGAAAGCTTCACAGTTCAAATAGCCAAGAGTTGAGCATATTATTAAATTCAAAAGTGTTGTGACGTTTTGCAGGAACCCAAGCTAGAGGGACAAGAAGGCAATTATAATAAAGCATTCCATGGGATGAAGTTTAGGACTTTCTTTGCAAAGTGGTTGAGTGTGTGTGTGTATGTAAAAGGTAGAACCTTATTTAGAATGTATCTTCAAGAAAAGGTAAGCCAGCAGGTTTAGCAAAAATCTAAGCAAGCCAATCGCCTAGAGAGCTAAATTGAGAAATCTTCCAGCTCATTTTTCAAATTGGAGTTCTACCAGTACCTTTGATGGATCTCATTCACCAGCAAAGCCCCAACAAAACAAGAAAAAAGCAATGCTTGCATCTGTTTGAAATACCCAAAATTGCAAGTTCAACAATAATTCCATGCATTAAATTTTGGGAGATGATACTTTACAGATGAACAAGTTTTATGAACAATTATACAATGCATTCGGCTATTGCGCTCAGGTTTTAGCAGTGCCCTAGGTATCTTGAGAAAAGGAGACTTAGAGAGTTATTAATATGGTGGGCAGGTTTTTCAAGACCTTGAAAACAGTCTCCTACATCTATTCAGCCTAAAACCTGTATTTGCCAGCATCTGGCCTAGAGTGCATACAATATATTTTAATTCTGATTTCAGGGGACCAGACGAACTGGGCACAGTAACACATAAGTGTACCGGTACCTAATGGGTATGCCTGCGGTGATTTGTACACATAGGTATAAGAGGCCCATTCTGTAAATGCCATCCTTCATCACTGCAGAGATAATAAAAGCAGCATCCCCAGAAGTGTTCACTTGCTGTGGAACTCATTGCAGATTTCATTTATTTAAGTGAATGCAAATGAAGGTACACTCTCCTGTTTCTTTGAAGGATTGATACATTGCTGACTGGTGAGCACCGCACAGTGTCAGTCTCCAGAAACAAATGGAGGAAGATTGACACAGAATGAGTTCATATTTCAAGAAGCCACAGGATTTAATCTATTTGTGTGTCTTTGTGTTTATGTGTCAGTCATAAAGGAGTTTGTGAATTACTTGTCTCATGACATAATTCAAAACTCAGAAATGTTATTTTCCTATTAAAATGAAGGATTGACTTTGTAGTGCTCCTGTGGGCATGGAAAAAATATTGGAGAAATGCTATTAATAAATAAATTTAATATGGGCTTTGAAAGGGTTCATTTTGTTCACTTTTAGGGAAGGAGAACTTTCACGCTCTTTGCCTAAGGAACATTCTATCCTAGGATATTCAGTGCAATGGATATTTGGAGTTAAAAATTAAAAATGGAGCTTTTTGTCAGCAGTGCAGTACAATACCCAGGACATGTAGTGGCTTTCATTCATCAGGCATAGGGTATACAAACACCAACAGAGTCTCCCTATGCCTGAAGAAAGCTTGCAAAGAACAATTTTTCCGACTATTTAGTTGGTCTAATAAAAGATATCACATCTACCCAAAAAACTTTGCCTATGTCCTTAGATCAACACAGCTACAACCAACAACCCTAAAGCATGGAAAATATCAAATTTTTCTGTTTGAAATGGAAACTATACATGCTAGGGCGTTCAGTGCTGCTAATACTAGAGAAGTCAAATAGTATTTGAAGAAGAGGGAATTTTAGGGAATATGTTCCTACCCTAACTATGATTGCATGCTCTAGTAAGAAAAATATGGTTTACTTTTTAGGCCTATTAACCATTCTGGTGCTAGCCACTTCTGATCTCTCTCTGTTAGTTTTTTTTTCTCCATTGGTATGTTGGCACATCAAAAGGGAGGAGGCAGGGTAGATTTTCACTTTGTGCTAATTACATCAGAGGTGCATAGTATAAGCTTTCATAAGAGGCAGGCTTTATGCAGGATGCAGAGGTTCTAAATGGAAGGCATCTGTTAGAATACAAAGAGTAGAGAAGACGGCAAAAAGAGATGGAGTCATTGTTGAGAGAGACAGGGTAGGTAAGAGAGAGAAAAAAAAAATATTTAACCCATCGAGGGTCATGTGCGTTATAAAGCTAATCCAGGTAATAGGATAAGAATCCATAGTCTCAGTTTAGAGTAAACCTTACATAAACACAATCAAGTCTGTGGATGATTTCTTGTTTTGCAGTTTCCCATTTGAGTGTGTTTTTAAAGGTTTGCTGTCTAATAACAACAACCCTTAGGTCAGCGATGGATTGTCCAGGGAGGTTAAAGTGTTCTGCCACATGCTTACATGTCTTTCAGGAACTGATGTCAGTTCAGCGTTCATTCCTTCTTACACCCTGTCTGGGTCCCCCAGTCTGTGAAAAGGAATGCACCATGCGAGGTCCCACTGCAGAACACGCTCATGTTGTGCCCCTTTAATCTAAAAAGGAAATAGCTAAACTATGCATTTAGTGTTGCTATAATGCATAAATTGCTTTTCCTCCAGATTAATTGAAGACAGAATATTACAGTTTTACTGTTGAAAATAGAATTTATAGAAACCATATTGGCTTCTCTTGGCTCCTCCATTGTCTGAGTCCTGAGCAATAATTTTATCTCAGATACAAACTTAAGTAAAATAATTAGCTTTTATCACAGTTTTAATGCAATAATAAGCTATATCCATGTGATTTGATTGTATCAGCATGTGTTAATTCAGTTGTGTACTTCTGGAATTTAAACTGCAGGGTCTGAGCTGCAGGAGGCACTGCAATCTGCTGTTACAAATCCAAATTAACATTTATTATATAATTTGCCAAGGTTGTGTGTATTTGGGGGGCAGGGAGGGGAGGAGGGGGAGAAGCAGGAGATGTTAGTCTGCTAGTTTACTTGTTTTAGTGGTATCATTTAAGAATATCAGTAGAAGTTGTCCATACTGGGATTCTTTCTTGTCAAGGCACAATTAATTTATTGTGTAAGAGAGCTCCTTCTGGATCTAGTGCTTATTATTTCTTAGACATATCTTCTATTGAAAGCAAAGGAGTTTGCCCAAGTAAAAATTTGACTTGTATACAGTTAGGCAGACAACTGTTATATTCACAGTATGTTGTTACTCTTCCACTTCAACTGACCTTACATGGTGATACAAGGTATCTTTGTCCCTCCTTCTGTGAATTTCCCCCCTAGGACTGACTGATCATGACTTGTTCCAAAATTAATTCAAAACTGAAACTTACGTTCATCAAACTTCCATTTGGCATTCTGGAATTTGATATTTTTGTCTTATCTGTACTTATCCTCTAACCTTTTTGCACTTTTACATGGAAACAAGTTGGTCTCAAATTGCATGTAAAACTGTTTACATTTTGGACTGAAAAAGCAGTGGGATGTTGCTGTCTTCTGTTTCTGCACACAGGCATCTTGCTTTATGATTTCAGTTACAAGATTTCCATTTTACTGTACATTATTTTGAAGGCTCAACAATTAAAGCTTAAGTACAACTTATTCTCAAATTTATTAAAAGATACAAAAAAGGGCAAGCAAGCTATAACTATATTTAACTCTCTAGGCATAAGTGTCTGTTAGATACATGTTTAAAGTCTTACTCTTATGTGAGATTGTTTTTAATAGGAGAAGACTCTGTAAAATGCAGATACCACTGCCTGAAGTTGAACTTTGCTATGCCCTTGACTTTCTACTTACTGCAAAGTTAATTACTGAAGTCCTTTGACAGTCAGCTTAATTTTGATTCACTGATAATTAGGATATTTTAGAGGCTGGGAGAAATGGATCACAAAATTAATTGAACTTCTCACTGAGGAGAAGAGGAAGAAACTTCTAGGCCCTACTGGTATTTGCTATAGGGCAGTCGTTTTCAACCTTTTTTTAATAAGTGTGCCCCTGGTGGCTGGACGCAGAGCAGGTGGGGGGGCGAGGTGGCGTGTGGACAGAAATGGAGTGGCGGCAGCATGAGGTGGTGGGTGGTGGCAGCAGCCACTGGGTTCAAGCTTCCCCTCCCTTGCTGCATTCAGCCACCTGGGCAGTGGCTGTGCAGCCCGCAGAAGGGCACCACTGTCCTTACTTCCCCGGCCCTGCTCCTGGGAGGCAGTGGCATGGGGTGGTGGGTGGGGGCGCTTCATCCCTGCCTGCCTACGTATACCTCCTATGGTCTTCCCAAGTACCCCTGGGGGTATGCATACCCCTGGTATAGGGTAATCATGGTACATGAAAGGGAATATCCTGCCTTTAACTGATGGAAGTGCACAGCAGAGCAGTGTACCAGCATGCTAGGTCTTGCAACCATCCTGTTGGTGCAGAATACAAAGCCTTGTGGTAGCCATGGTGGGGCTTGCTCTTGATCTCTGCTTCAGGATATGGAGGTGGGGCCAAAACATTCCACTTAACTGCAAATGAAATGTTAGGAAGTGCCAGAAGAAATGGTAGTGAGGCCTCCTTCTACTGTCTTGTTGGAGATTGGGCATTAACTCTTGTCAGCGAGTATAAACATTTATCTGTTAAGCACAAACAATGTATTTGGAGCTGTACAGTACACCAATGCATAGGTTATGTTATGGAAAAAAGATTATAAGGTAATGCAGTATAATTGACATAAATTTAGGATTAGCTATACAACAAATAAATCATGATGCCAGAGCTAGGTTATACCCCTCTGCTCCTGTAAAGTGAAAGGGCAGGGGGTTCTCAGAATGATTCCTCTCACAAGGAATAAAAGATCTTTTGCACAAGCTAGAACCTCATTATTTTAAAAGTATGTATTTATTTGTACTGATTTTTTGTAACATTTTTCTCATCCTAGCTTAGTTCAAAATTGCTAAGCTATGCAAAGTTACAAACTCTATAAAGGTTTACAATAGAACAGGCAAGTGTTGCCTAGTGGTGTTACTGGAATAATGCAGTGTCATTGTACTGTACAGTGGTAACTTAATTAAAACTGGATGCAATTTGGTTCTGGCTTGGTATTATTGTTTTGCAGAACAACTATAGTTTTCTTTGCAAGATTCTATATTTGAAAATGATTTATATGTGTGTACACAGTATATGGGACAAGCACCTTAGGGTTTTAAAACAGATTTTAGTTGTGTTATCATGAACACTGTAATTTCTACATAGCCTGCACCTGTTCAATACATGTTTTACACATAAGTTTCTGGAAGATAATTTTTTTCCAGCTGTTAGTATCATGTTAGTGTCAAAACAGCTGTTGAGCTTGACTACATTATTGGTGTTCAGCAGTTTAAGAGAGAGAACTTTAGAAAAGCAAGTTTTAACTTTGTATCTTGTTGTTCCGTCTTTTCCCCTCCTACCACTCTCCCATCCCCCCTTCTCTCCTTTCCCCTTCACTTTATTAGCAGTTTTATCTGAAGTATATATTTTTCTCTACAGCCTATCTAAATTCTAATGTGAGTACCGTGGAAATGAGACATAGTTATTAGTAAAATAGTCAAAAGGGTTGCTAAGGTGGCAAATAATGCCTTTAATGCCTTTATATATATTTTTTGCCATGAAGATTAAATTCCATTCAGAAGTAAAAGCATACCAGAAATGTGGTGGTGAGAAAAAGGCAGACATTATGTTGGACTGCTGAGAAGCACAGGTGTGGTTCAATGCAAGAAGAAAGCAAACTGGGGAGAAGACTGATAACCCCTAGCATGGAAAGTAAGCTCTGCCTGTTGCCTTTGAGCATAGCACTTCTTAACAGTAACAGGTATATGGTAACAAATATGTAAAAGTAAAATTCAAAAACATTTTACTGAAGAATTTGTAATATTTGCATTAGGTACATTGTAAGTCTTCTATAGAATATATAACAGAGGTTACTTAACTACCACAAAAGCCTTTTTAATATCATCTTGTACTTTCACTCAAAATCTAAGAAGCCTTTTAGTCAAGATTTTTACAACTGAATGTTTTAAGAATCAGGTTTAACACAACCTTCCTGTGTTACTAAAGCAAATCTGAACATAAGAAATACATGTGGGCCACTTCTTATTCCAGACTGAAATTCTTATTCTTTGTATAGAGGTTCCATTACAGATTTTTATTTCTAGTTCAATCAAACTTAGCTTTTTGGAAATGCTGCTTGCTGCTGCTTTAAGAACAGGCAGCATTCAGGATGGAAGTAAACAATTCAAAAGAAAACCTTATATTGTTTTGAATTAAGGCAGGTTTTTTGTTTCTAGAAGTAGCTACATGCTTTGTAGATACAACCCTTTCATTTGGTAGTTGTTGTTGACACCTTTGTTA